CCCCAAAACCCCAAAACCCCAAAACCCCAAAACCCCATAATTTAAAAAAATAATTGAAATCAAATATGAACAGTGATTTGCACAAAAGAAGGATCAGATCTCTCTCAGTGGTAAGACAAGGTCCCAGTGCAGCTCGGGCGGATAATAATTTACATATTTTCACCAAGTTTTCCATTAATTCTCCGCTTAGAATGATCAGAAGCAACAAACCAATCAGAATGACAACCTAAGGTAGGCTATGAGGCTGATATTTAGAGTAGAGACAAATCAGAAGTTATCATCTGCCATGAAAGCAATGGAAGATAAGTTCCTCAAATGTAAGTGCAAGATATCTGGCATCTCTTTGTACAACTCTTTTGACCTTTAGTGATCACTGATATTCAAGTCAAGATGATGGATAGAGTAGATGCTGTCAAAAAGTAGGATTTGACTTTTTGAAAATAGAAAAATGAAAGAAACTAACTAAATTTGGCCTATAGAGAAGCAGAATCCATTGAAAAAGATACTAGGAAGATGAAAATTGATATTAATAGATGTGAAGGTATGCTTTTGTTATCATTTCTAGAGAAATTCACCCTAACCAGACAAGACGTAACTTGACAAGCATAATTTAGGTCCTTAACTTGAAAGATGAAGTCAGGATTACAATTAAAGAGTCTCATTCTAGGGCAGGTAAAGGTAAGAATTCTCTTGATCCATAGAAATCGAGAAAATTGATTCAAAAGGTAACTCAATTTGTTCATCCTAGTCAATGAATGAGTAACATTAATGGACTTTGAAACATTCAAAATCTCCCTCAAACACAACTATGCAGTAAAGAAGGAAGTCAAGGATATCAGAAGTATATAAGCTCCTCTAAATCATAGCCGACTTCATGAGTCTCAGCAAGAAGCTCAAAGGTATCAAATCCCTTGTGATACATAGAGAATTACATGGACCTAAATCAGCTTGACTATCTCAAAATGAAGATCCAAAGTATCTTTCTTACTCAAATTTTAGAGGAAAACCAAGCAGAAGTTGCAAGATGTGCTAAGAAAGAGGAGTTCCTGACTCACATAAACAATTATGAAGCCTTTCTGAATAATTTCCAGAAGCACAAGACTCTCATGCTTGAAGAAATTGGACATTTAAAATAACGGTGAACGAAACCTCAAAGTAAGACCTGATCCTCATTTTAGACTATTCTAGACACAAAGGCTAGCCTCCAGGATGTGGATGAGATCTACATCAAGTTTGAAGACTACGGTACAAATTCTGCGTTCCAAGAACTTCGTGAGAAGGTGATTCCACCTGTGAAGTCCTTCGAAAGTGACATCCTTAAGTTCAGAGAACAAAATCTTCAGCACAGGGAGATTATCTTCAGATTTGATGAAGTAATCACAACTAAGGCATCTAAAATGGACTTGAAGAACCTTGAGACGAAGATTGGCAAGACTTTTATTGACCGAAAACAATTTTCTGCCTATCAATCACAAACAAAGACCGAGATCGAGGAGCATTATGATTACCTTATTAAACTTGAAGATGCAATGGACCTGCTCAATCATGAACTGAACAAAGAGATCTATCAAGCAGTGAGGAGAGCCACTCTTCCACTAACTAAAGCAGTGATGATCGGCAAGGAGCTCCAAGAAGAAGAGGATCCTGCTGCAAAGGATCAGATGATCCTTTCCATCATGAAAATCTTGGAGGATCGCCAGGAAAAGATCACTCTTGGTAAGCCAGAAATTCCTTAGATTTGTTTTGAATTTTCTATAGAGAAGCAACGAAAGTTGAAGTCAAGCCAATCCAGAAGAACACCAGCTTCAAACAGAGGCCTGAGAAGCTTCATTAGTAAACTATCAAACTAAGGTTTAGAGGTGGATAAGCAGTGGAAACACTTTATGAAGCAGAAATCTCCAAAGCCTGATGATCGTTCTGTGAGAAATCGATCATCAAGTAAAATATTCATTGACTCATCAGATCCAAACCTTGTAATAAATTTTTTATTTATCTGCAGAGAAAGAATAAGCCATTCAGCCCTCAGAGACCACAGATCCTCCAACTGATGCCAGTGCCTCTCTCACAAAGAAATCTGAGACAGAACAGATTGCCTGAATTTGGGCCAAAGTAGCTTGAAACTATCTTCAAAATACTATATTTCTTGCAAAATTTCAATAAATATTCTCCAGAAAGGGGTTTTGGGGTTTTGGGGTTTTGGGGTTTTGGGG